TTAGACACGCCGACATCAAGAATCAGCATATGAATCTCAACAATGGTGACAATCATCAGACAGAGTCATGTTGCATTGCATTCTGGGTGCACCAATCATAACTCATCCATGGCTCCCAGCATGCATTGCGCCATGAATAAATTATGCAGCTGCATTGTCTTAGTATTTTCTTTTATTCTTACTATTTGCTGTTATTTTTGTTGTGACTTTACTGCCTTGTTTTGTGCCAGAATTAAAACCTCTTCATAAACCTTATTTCTAAAAGTGGTTTATAAAGTTTTCTAACATTGTCACCTCCTATCATAGAACTGCATTAATATAGAAACCATAAGAGCAAAAACTATTCACCAAAACGGTAAGTAAAACAAAAAAAAAAACATCTAAACATTAATTCTCAATAAAGAACTTCTGTTTTAGATACTCCAGAAATAAAGTCTAACTGGTTAGTAATGCCTGAAGCTGGTGATGTTGTTTGTGGAGATGTTTAATTATCTTCTACTGCACTCTTGAGAGATTTAATGTCTTTTATTTCAGTTGATTTCATCTTAGGCTGTGGCTGAAGTCAGTTGTAGTTCTTGTGTTTCTCTTTCATGTTGTAGCAAGGTTCACTGATGTCATCAGTGGTAATGTGTAATATAGTTTGTTATTTATCACAACTGCATTTTAATGAAATATGAAGAGCTTTAAAAACACTTTGCACACCAGTTTAAAACATCTGTACTGTTTAGACACGCAGACATCAAGAATCAGCATATGAATCTCAACAATGGTGACAATCATCAGACAGAGTCATGTTGCATTGCATTCTGGGTGCACCAATCATAACTCATCCATGGCTCCCAGCATGCATTGTGACATGAATAAATTATGCAGCTGCATTGTCTTAGTATTTTCTTTTATTCTTACTATTTGCTGTTATTTTTGTTGTGACTTTACTGCCTTGTTTTGTGCCAGAATTAAAACCTCTTCATAAACCTTATTTCTAAAAGTGGTTTATAAAGTTTTCTAACATTGTCACCTCCTATCATAGAACTGCATTAATATAGAAACCATAAGAGCACTTCAGATTTTGATAAAATGCAATCAGAGACTCAAACGCATGAAATGATTTTATCGTAAGTTCTTTGTCATCACATAAGTGCTTTATAAACATTATTGTAACAGCCAAAGAGAACTTTATATTTAAAAAGTCAAGGGTCAAGAGGCAACTGAAGCAAAAACTATTCACCAAAACGGTAAGTAAAACAAAAAAAAAACATCTAAACATTAATTCTCAATAAAGAACTTCTGTTTTAGATACTCCAGAAATAAAGTCTAACTGGTTAGTAATGCATGAAGCTGGTGATGTTGTTTGTGGAGTTGTTTAATTATCTTCTACTGAAATCTTGAGAGATTTAATGTCTTTTATTTCAGTTGATTTCATCTTAGGCTGTGGCTGAAGTCAGTTGTAGTTCTTGTGTTTCTCTTTTCTTCAGTGATTCTGCTTGTTAACAGCAGGTGTTCATCATTAATGCTCAATCAGCACTTAATTAATCACATAATTATCTCATTAACTTTAACACTCTTTTAGAGTGGGACCATATATGCTCCGAGCAGTGTTAATTTAACACTCAGGATTTTACTGTGCACGGATAACAATGTTTCATCATGCAAATATACATTTCAATAAATGTTAAATAAAGTGCCAGCCGTAGCATGTGCATACACAGACTGCATACTCTTAAGAGCATTATTTCAAATTAGAGGTCTGGAGCAATATTAAGTAGTTACCCTATAACAGTTTCCACCAACACATGAAAAGCAACAGCAATAACAACACAGCAAATGCACATTTGCAGAACAACAAAACAGCAAAATTGTACATACACATACGTGTTATATCAATATAGATATTATAATATTCGCTTTATGTCTGTCAGCTCGTTCCCTTTCTGAAATTTTGACTCTATTAAAGAACTAAATGAACATTGTTATGGAATGGTTTCTCCTGAGTTGGCAGTGAAAGTGTGCCCATTGACTCTCAAACGTCTATAGCAGAGGTTTTTAACTAATTTTGCTTCAGGACCCAAATTTTACATTGGATGGCACTGATATCAAAGTAAATACAGTGGGATCCAAAGGTCTGAGACCACACTCAGTATAGGATTCAAGATCTGTTAGGATTAAATGTTACTGTTAAAACAAATAATAAATAAGATTTTGACAATTAATTAAAATGAATAAGAGTGAAAAAATCAAATAAGCAAATTACATTGACCATGTGAGCAACAAGGGGTCAGACTGAAGCACATAAGATGCTCTTTGGAATATTCTCAAATCATGCTGGATAACATGATCATTAGGTTTTGAACAAATGTGGAACTCTTGTTAGATCCAGTTCTGCAGTCTATTAAGCAAAAGGTAGACATTAAAAGCATGTACATTTTTTTAATACAATTTTATTATGCTGATAATTTATAGTTTGTGGTGTCAGACCTTTGCATCCCACTCTATGTGACTGCAGCAGCAGCAACAACAACACCAACCTGTATTGACCTGTATTGGTCATTTACACAAACACAAGAGCTACAAGATTCACATATCAAAAGAGAGATTATCAACAGATCCATTTTTAAACATTTCTTACATTTTCCACAATATTCCAAACACAGGAAAAGCTAGAGGCCATGCTTTGCGAACACAGTTACGACAATGCATCCCACAACATAAGACTGGCTCTATACTGCACACTTATGCGGCTGGCTGGTATTTTGTATTGGGTTAAGCACCACAGCAGGATGGTGTGTCAGAGGAGGGACAGTAATTTGGTGACTTAATATTCTCTGGCCTCCTCCAATTCATTCATGAAAATCTCCTGTTGGGGGTTTTCTGTGCAATGCAGGCCATTATTAGGTGGGCGGACGGCATGAAACCTGCTCCAGTCCCCTTTGCACAGAATCCAAGGCATTACATCCACCTTAAAATGCAGCTCTGGAGAGAACTCTGTGCTTATTAGGTTGGGAGTACCTGCACCCTTGCCCCTTGTAATTAGAAGCTTGTTGTCATCATAGCAACAATGCTGTGCGGCCAGAGTGGTGCCATCTCTTGAGAGGCCAGAACGCAAGCAAGAGCGTGCCGAGGGCTTGTAGATGTCCAGCCGCTCTTTTGGGCCGCTAGCATCCCTCCATCGGAAGGTCTGGTCACGTCCTGCATCCGGCAGACTGACTATATTGGTGGAGGCTTCTGAAGGATAGGTGCACGGACAGCTGGGTAATTCAGTCAATACCTGCTGCAGGTAACGCTGGAGAAACTCACTCTTACAATTCAACCACTTCTCACAGCTGTCAACATCTGCAGAACAACCAAACCCAAACAGATTACACATTAGCCATATTCACTTATAGCAGAGTGCCATTTGCCCAATAGTGGTTTAAAAAGTAGTGTGATAGTTTCATGCATTTTAAAATAAGAATTCACATATTTTTTCACATGCATTGTTGTCCCTGTTGAAAAATCCAGCATATGCTGGTTAGCTATGTTTTGAAGCATGGCTGCTGGTTTAAGATGGTCCTTAGCTGGTCATGAGCTGGTTTAAGCTGCTTATGTGCTGGTCCTAAGCTGGTCCTGAGCAGGAGCTAGTTGCTTAAAGCCAGCTTAAACCAGCAGCCATGCTTCAAAACATAGTTAACCAGCATATGCTGGTTTTTTCAACAGGGGTGTGTAAAGTTCATATAGACTATACGTTGCAAAAAGCATTAACTAATACAACTAATACAAGTTAACACATTTATCTGATTTTACATCGCAACTGCTCAATTCAGTTCTGTCTTTTTTATGATGGAGCAAGAGCTTCTCACTGGCAATGGCTTCTCAATACAATTATACATCTAATTCAAATGGGACATTTAACAAAAATCATGTCCCTTGCCATTTTTGTATGCCAGAATTTCATTATCATTAGGACTCAACGACATGCTTAAAATATCACCTACAAACTGAATGTTAATTTTTAACCTGCTGGTGTCAAGGTGATTTTTTGTGGACGTAGAGTCAGTTTAGCCACTCCACTGGCGTACATATTCCACTAACATTTGACAATCAGTGTCTGAATGCTATTTTTAAAAAAATATAATTATTTTTTACAATTCATCATTAATTGAACGGATACTGACAGCTTTAAAGCACTCACCAGTGCCAAAGGGTTCTGTACCATTTTCCATCTCAAATGGAAAGACGTAAGCCACACTGTTCCAATCATCTGGAGAAAAAAAAAAACCCTCAGTGTGACATAATATTACACAAAATGGTTTAGAATTTGATTAAAAACAGATACATTTTTGAGAACTGAAATAACCTGGGCATGGCACGAGGTCACAGCTTCGGGATTCGGTGGAGATGCAGAAATCTCCACATGAACGTAAGCGGGTCTGGTTGCCATTTCCACAAGTGACACTACAGGGACCCCATGCGCTCCATTCTTCCTCTTTCTCTGCTAAAGGCACAAGAATAATCAGTTAAAACAATAATTTAGTTTTTTTGTGGTACCCATCACCATTCCTCATATAGGGTTTGAAGAAAATCGTTAACCTCAAATACTTTTCAGGGATTGGATAACAAGTGGTCCTCTGGGACGCATTACCATTACTATTTCCGCTTGGTATTAGCATGTGCTTCAAATGCATGCCTGCAACCACTTGTGCTGTTAATATACAACCTCTTATGTTGTTTCTGACTACCCCCATACATGGGGTTTTAGTGATCTAATCACAAAATGTTTCAGACCCTGTTTACACAACTTAATGCAAGACCAGTTAGCAGTTAGAAATCATCTAGCAGACGCTCCAGCAATATCTTAGCAATAAACCCAGCAAATGCAAAGAAACATAATAACAACCACTCATCACTCAAAGACACCACCCCAGGAAAAGCTTTGCAATAGTATGGTAGCACCATGGAAACCACCAACAAAAACACTCTAACACCTTGACTGTAACTTTTGCAGACGAAAACAAGGGTAAGCTGAAAGAGTAAGCTTTTGCCAAGCCTTATATCCTCCAAAAAGAAAAAAAAACTGATTTAAAAAGGCTGATTAGCTTTTGGAGGAGATTTCAGCACTCTTTACGAAAAACAAACTGTCACATTAAACAAAGACAACAGATGTCTTCTTCTTTCTTCTGTAATACAGAGTATAGATTACAGACTAGCATTTTTACATATTTAACTTGAATTTGGGTGGGGTGCCAATGATATTGCACACAGAATGATGGTGTCCTGATTACAGACAGACTAGTGAATGATGGAAAGGAGGCGTTGGCTCAGCGGCTACTCTTGCTGGCTTTGTAGAACTGCCAAACTGTGAAACCCACAACAGCCACAGGGCTTGTCGTTTAGCAGAAGCTGGAATGGGCACTAAATCCACAGGGTCGAGATTTGGGTGGTTAGCATTAGCAGTTACCCATGCTAAAAGATGCTGGTGTCAAGAACATTTTGGACGGGCTGTTAAATCTCTTTGGCGATTCCTTTGGCTGAACGAATCATAAAGGGTACTCTGTTTAAAAAAGAACTGAAATCGTCAGTATAAACCAATAAAGCATTATTTCAATAAAACGTTATCTTCCTGTCCTGTTAAGGGCCCAGAAATCCATTTAAAAAATGAATCCTGCATAGTAGAATAGGCATCAACTTCTGGTCTAGATTGGGGCCATCCTTAATCTCTAAATTTAGTACTCAGTCACTGTGTCTTTTCTTGACCGCTCCAATTAAACCCCCATCCCATTTCATCCTTGTCTCCAATCAAAGACTGCACAGCTAAAACGCAAAATGCACAATTCCCACCATAAAACAGACATGGCCTGGAGAGAAAAACAAAAAAGGAACAGAGGCGTAATGTTATGCATGGCCTTGAAAAGCCTAGGATTCTTGAACAGGCTTAAAAGATCTAGCCGCTCTGGGCTGGAGGGGGTGGTGGGGGGATGCAGGGTCTGGGGCCCAACCCGTGGGACATAAAAAGTAAACGGATGACCCCTCTCACTCTGTGCTCCCGATCTGCGCTCTAAATGAACACAAGCATGGGCTTATTTGTCCAAGAGAACGTACTCACGCTGCCATTAGCGAGCGGATCGGGCTCGTCTTCAAACAGCGGTCTTCTCCGCCGAGTGGAACCAGTCTCTACATCAAAGGTCCGGCACTCACAAATACCCCGCCGCTGGCTGCGAGTTTAGTCTGAATCAATGCTGCGAAACAGCCTTTACCAGCTCGCTCTACCCTTCCTCCCCAGTCTCTACATCTCTCTTTGCCTTAAACCACTCTCCAAATCGCCTTCATCTGACTGCTGCCAATCCAGCTTTCTCGAATTCTCCCATTGATTTCTCTTTCTTAAATTCTGATGTTACCAATTCTGACAACTTTCTTCATTCCAAGGTTTTTTATTAATAGCACAGCTTGAAGGTTCAAATACTCTTTCTTTTAAATTCTCAAGACTTGTGTGTAGAAACAGCTAAAAAGAAAGCGCTCACCATAATGGCGTTGAGTCCATGGGCTTTCCCAAATGCCACCTGTCTTGTCCAGTCCACTAGGAAGGGGCTCCCCACTGTCATACTCCAGTGCATAATCATCCTCTTCCTCCACTGCTTGGCCAGTACCATCCTCGCCCGAATCTACATCTGTGTAGCTCCAAAATAAAGGCCAGAAAAGCTTCTTCCCGCCCAGCCATTCTACAGTAGAGGAGGGAGAAGATGTAGGCCAGTCGTTGCTCCATTCTTTAACCAGGTCCATGTCCACTTCCATGCGGGGGTCATCCAACACCTCGATGGTCACCTACAACCAAGGATGCAAAATACACAGGGATTAAATATTATGGAACACTGGGTGTTATTTTAAGAACTTAAATCATGCAGCTAATAAAGGCAATGAAGTCAAATCATCCTGTAATAAGTCTGGAGAAAAGTCAGTGACAGTAAGTTTCAGCGGTGAGTCACTGATCGAGTTTTTTGATTTGGGCTCAGGCTCAATATCAAATCAAGCAGAATTACTTCCTCCTCAGCTCAAGATAAGATTACTTATTACACTTAATTACATCCTATCAGGAGTGATGACTCACTATGGATGCTGATGAATCCACTTTGGCTTAGACAGGATTAGACATTAGCCTCAGAGTAGAGAAACACAGTTATGGCTTATTATATCCGGGCTGGCATATTATGACTTGTCCCGCTCAATCATCAAAAGTCACATCACAAAGCATTTCACTTGAGATGTGTGCTCTTGCATGTGCTCACCTGAATGTTTGGGTTTTGGGAGTCAGTGTCAGCATTTGCCAGGTCTGGAAAGTTTTTGAGGTCTAGGACAAAGGGTTTTGATTCTTCCTCGGGCTCAGGCTGTGGTAGGACACCTGTTGAGCGATGTTGGAGCCACCTGTGTTGGTGGGGACGAGGGTCTGCCAGCTCGTTCTGGACTTGGTTCTGTTGGTGCAAGAGATGATGTCAATGTCTCTCAAAGATGTCTGAGGATGTGTCTGATGAAAAAATAACATTGCATGCAGCAATAAGTGCTAGCT